ACGAAACGAGAAAATCAATTAGTGTTTCGACGAAACGAGAATCTACCGAATAGAAGACTCATCTTCACATCCACATCCTTTACATTTATATTATTAATTTGTCACAAATTCTAATAATCAATAGAGCAGTTTCAAATAAATTTCATTTTCATTGGGAGAAAGAAAATGACCTTATCCGTCATTCTCCTTTAAATGACAATCGATGACCATGATCCAAAGGCTAAAAACCATTTCAATTGTCCTATGATTGTTTGATAGGAAAGCAAAAATTCTTAGTCTAAACACTTGTTTAATAATCGAAGATAATGGTATATGCGAGAGAGAATATATTATTTCACGTGTCTACGTATATGTATATATGTATTCGTTTTCGTTATTCTCAACCAGTATCATCGTTATTTCTTATTAGAAACACGGAAAGAAGAATGAAACGATCATCAGACGACACTGTTTTTGATTAGAATAATAAAAGAAAATCAAAATTCTTCGTAACAACAACTAAGTCAGTTTATTGAAAATCTATTTTTTTAAATTAAATTTCTATTAATTAATTTAGATCTTGTTTTGAAAATTTAGCAATGAAATTCTTTATGAAATATTTGAATATCTTGAACATAATGATATTTATCATGGATTCTTTTATCTTAATGATCGATTTCAAAATCTCCTTATTAATTTAAATATTCCATTTCGAATAAATCTTTCAACAATACCAAAATCGCATGTTGATCTTTATAATAAAAATGTTTTTCAGCCAAATAAACATCGAATAAATATTCTTCGTTTATCAAATCCATTTACAATTGAACTGATTTTTTCTCCACCATGTCTTTTATTTGTGATTTCATTCAAATTGAAAAATTAATATTTGATCATATCAATTCAATATATCTTGATAAGATTGTTAAACATTTAATTCATTTACCTAAATTACATACATTAATTCCTTCTCCTATTGATTATATTCTAAATTCAACTATTATTTTCACTCAAGTATTTTGTTTAAAAAAATTAAAATATTGTAAATTAACATATCGAGTTAAAGATAATAAAAATGTATTACCGATAGATTTTGATCAATATGAACAAAGTTCTATTGAATATTTGATAATAAATAGTCCTTTTCAATATGAATCATTTCAAAAATTATTTATTTATCTTTCAAAACTTCGTCATTCATCAATTAATTATCTTTTTGGATCAAATCATTCACAGATAGATTTTTATCCAATTCATTTAAAAGATTTAAACTATATTTTTTTCGATCTTCATTCAATTCATTTCCATCAATTTGAAGAATTAATAAAAAATTTCTTTCATCATATTAAAGTTTTACGTATTTCAACATTCAATGATTCATCATATTCACATACAAAACAATGGAAAGAATTAATTTCATCTTCAATGCCAAATTTACATATTTTTGATATGAATAATAGTTATACTAGTGCAATGCATCGATTTTTATATCTTTATTTAAGTGGTCAATTTAGATCGAAGTTTTGGAAGAAAAAACAATGGTTTTTTTTATCATCAATATGATTGTCATGAAAGTTCAAATAATAGACTATTTTATTCAACAAATCCATATCGGTAAAAAGAAAAAAATGAATTTTATTTTGTCACACTCAACATCTTAGTATTCAGGGTCATAGATTCAAAAATGCATTTTCATAGATGTCGAATAGAAGAATGACAGTTGGTTAACGTAGACTCCCAATGAAAAGTCAATACTAGTAGATTACTGTAGGGATTGACTTCAAAAAATATCTTTAGTTCTGATAACATTCGAAATCATTGATCAATAAATACATTTGTATGGCCACCTAAAATATTGATTCTTCATTTAGATTGTCTAATCACTTTAAGTAACGTAGAAACCAATAATAAAAAGAATAGACTTCTTTGAATAATTAGAAAAATAATATTGAAAATTATTTCGACTAAAATATTTCTAAACTCATGAAATATCTAAATTTTTTCGTTTTTGTTTGAAAAAGACTTTTCTGACAAATTTTTAACATTTATTTAGAAGAAAAGATCATACATTTCATTGGCAATTTGATCATGACATCGATTATTATCTTAAAAAACATGATTTCAAATCGGTTAAACATATTAATATTTGTAGTAAACGAGCTGTTACCAATTCTGTCATTTATTTTTCAAATGTCATTGAATTAACCATTAAAAATTATGGTAAGATGTATTATGGGTCAATGTTAACAGCTCTTCAGCAAATTCTTCCTTTAAAACAACTTAAGAAATTAATTATTGATTGTAATGATATTCCAGTTCAACAAGTTATAAATTTAATATGTTTGACACCAAATTTACATTTCTTAAAATGGAATTTTCAATCTATTGTTCAAACTAAATTAAAATCAATTGAACAAAGCGAAAATTTTCG